GAATGGGCTACAACTGCTGTGAGAATGCTGGTGGGTGGGGCTGACCCCCAGCATGACTGCCTGAGAGGCCTGGTTGAAGCTGCTGTGGATTTGTTGGTGGGTAGAGTTATCCCCTGGTGTTACTGGCTGTGAGGCTTGTCCATGACTCTTACAGGCATGCTGGTGGAGGAAGCTGTGCTTCCCTGTCACAGGAATCACTTTGCAGGGGCACTGGTCCCAAAGGAGGCTGTCCATAGAAAGTGGTGGGGCAGGAGCTGCTTTGAAGGGGTGCCTATTGAAGTGGGTGCATTGGTAGGGTAGGGCTGCAAGGAGTCAGACAGGATAAGTGGTACTATCAAGGTAGATGGACAGTGACAGAACTGGTGCATGCCAACACTGGGCCAGCTAGGCACCTGTCAACACTTCTGTTCCAGGAAAATTTCCTACAGATCTCTACCCCTCCACCACATGCCCTAAAATTAGCCAATAAATCTTCTTCATATATGGCCTAGCTGCTTTTCAAACTGCTGCCTCTGTGCTGGGTGTCAGAGCAAGTGAGATTGTGTAAGCCCTTTAAAAACAGAGCCTTGGGGGGCACTTGGATGGCTCAGTTGGTTGGGCATCCAACTTCGGCTCAGGTCATGATCTCACTCACAGTTCGTGAGTTCAAGCCCCATGTCGGGCTCTGTGCTGACAGCTCAGAGCCTGGAGCTCATTTCAGATTCTGTGTCTCCCTCTCTCTCTACCTGTCCCTCGCTCACACTCTGTCTCTCTCTCTCAAGAATAAATAAACATTAAAAATACTTTTTTAATAAAAAAATTTTTTTAAACACAGAGCCTTGGTTTCCTACAGTCCACCAGCTCTCCCAGAGTTAAGCCCCACTGATTTTTTAAAGCCAAATGTTATGGAGGCTCATCTTCCTGGTGCATATCTTCAGGGCTGGGGGTACCCAATATGGAACTTGAACCCTTTGCTCCTCACAGAGGACCCCCATGTCTATCATATTCCTCCCACTTGTGGATTGTTACACCAGGGCTTTGGTTCCCAACCAGGTTTCATCTCTGCCTTTCCTACCCTTCTTGATAGGAATTTTTCTTCATATCTTTGGCTGTGGAAGAGGTTTTCTGCTAGTCTCCAAGTCATTCTCAGAAAGAGTTGCTTTAAATGTAGTTACAACCTTGATGTGTCTCTGGGAGGAGGTGAGTTAAGGATATTTCTACTCTGCCATCTTTCCCTCTAATAGTGATAACTTGATTTCTAGTGTCCAAGTCCAAAGAGGAATTTTAACCCAGGATGGATCATGCGAAGAGTTTCATCCATACTTATTTTAAGTGATGAGATTTGGTACTTTTGAGCTGATAATATGAAATGAGATTGTGGACTTGAGTTGATGCATTGAGAAATCTGGGTATTGGTGATGTAGTACATGTGTTTTGCATGTGGGATGGATGTGAATCTTCTGGGACCAGAGGTCAGATTATGGGAGACTGAATAATTTCACCTCTCCCACCAAAGATATTCTATTTCCTGGAATTTATGTGTGTTACCTACAATACCAACAAAAAAAAAAGACTTTGCCAGTGTGATTAAGTTAAAGATCATGATATAGGGGGATTATCCTAGATTATTTGGGTGGGTTCTAAATGCATCACAAGTGTTCTTATCAGAGGGAGGCACAGGGAAATTTGTCACCAACAGAAGATAAGAGGGGGATGTGACCATGGAGGTAGAGATTTGAATAATGCAGCCACAGCCAAGGAATGCTGGCAGCCTCCAGAAGCTGGAAGAGCAGAGAGAAGATTCTCTCCTAGAGCATCTGGAAGGAGTACAGCCTTGCTGACACCCTCTTTTCAGCTTAGAGAAACTAATTTTAGACCCTGGGAAAATAAATTTCTCTTGTTTTATTCCACAAAACTTTTGGTAAGTTGTTACAGCAGCCATAGGAAATTTGGGTGATCATTAGAGATTATGTAGATTATGTTGAAAGTCCCTTGTAGTTTTTCAACGTTTTTATTTATTTTTGGGACAGAGAGAGACAGAGGATGAACGGGGGAGGGGCAGAGAGAGAGGGAGACACAGAATCGGAAACAGGCTCCAGGCTCTGAGCCATCAGCCCAGAGCCTGACGCGGGGCTCGAACTCCCGGACCGCGAGATCGTGACCTGGCTGAAGTCGGACGCTTAACCGACTGCGCCACCCAGGCGCCCCTAAAGTCCCTTGTAGTTTTAAGATGCATTCATTCATTCAACTAACCAACAAATATTGAAAGCCATATAAAACAGTAATTAAAAGCACAGACTTTGGACTCAATTCAACTTGAGAGTGAATTGTGTGACCTTGATCAGGCAGCATAACTCTCTGAGCCCCAGTCTCCACATCTACACAATAGGGATAATAACAGTACTTAACTCAAGGTGAGGTTGTGAAAATTACATGGGATAATGCACACATACAGCTTTGTGCTGGGCACAAGGGTCATTGCCCTGTCCCTGTTCTAAGAGACCTATCATTCTGGGAGGAAAAACTTAGAGAGATCAAGACTGTGGACAGAAAGCACAGGAGGAATTGGGGACCCGTTGGAGGCACTGGTGGTAGGGGGTCGGAACGAATTCCTAGAGAAAGTATCTTCTGAGTCCCCTGAGGGACAGAGCAAGCTGTAATTATATGGATACTCTTTTTAATACTATTACTATTAAAATATTACTATTAAGGAGGAAAACATTCCTGGTTATCAGGTCTTCTAGAAAAAGCACATCTTTCAAAAACACCTATCAAAAACAGTGTAAAAAAAAAAAAAGTTTAAAATAATTCCTGTCCCTCACTGGGTTTGCACAGGGAGTCATGCAAGCCCCCACTTCCACGTTGGCTGCTGACACTGCTACCACCACCATCACTGCCTTGATCCTTTATCCCTCACCATGGCTGAGGACCTGTCTTCGGCCACGTCCTACACCAAAGATAATTTCTACTGCTCCACCTGTTAGGGGGGCTCCAAACCGCCATGGGGCCATGGCCTATCAGCACATTCTGTAAGAAATGTTTTCTGACTGGGGCGCCTGGGTGGCTCAGTCAGTTGAGCATTCGAATTCGACTCAGGTCATGCTGACAGCTCACAGCCTGGAGCCTGCTTCCAATTCTGTGTCTCCCTCTCTCTTTTCCCCTCCCCCCACTATCTCTCTCTCTCTCTCTCTAAAATAAATAAACATTGAAAAATTTTTTAAAGAAATGTTTTCTGATTTTAACGAGAGAGCAGAATACGTTGTCCCCTCTGTTATGGAAATGTGACTAGACTTAAGAGAGAATGTCCCGAACAAGCCTTAGACCTTGAAACTGTCATGATGAAGTTTTCAGGTAGTTGTAGATGCTGTGCAAAACAGATTAAATCCTGTTACTTGAGATATCATTACAAATTTTATTAAGAAGTATCAAGATGGGGGGGCACCTTGTTGACTCAGTCGGTTGAGCATCCAACTCTTGATTTCAGCTCAGATCATAATCTTGCAGTTCGTGCAATCAAGCCCCCCATCAGGCTCTGTGCTGAGTTCTGGGCCTGCTTGAGGTTCTCTCTCTCTCTCTCTCTCTCTCTCTCTCTCTCTCTGCTTCTCCCCTGCTCATACACTCTCTCTCCCTCAAAATAAATAAATAAATAAACTTAAAAAAAAATATCAAGATAAGGACATCTGGGTGGCTCAGTCAGTTGAGCATCCAACTGTTGATTTTGGCTCAGGTCATGATCCCAGGATCATGACTTCAAACCCTGCATCAGGCTCTGCACTGAGCATGGGGCCTACTTAAGATTCTTTCTTTCTCCCTCTGCCCCTCTCCCCTGCTCTCTCCCTCTCTCTCAAAAAGGAAAGCTTTCAAGATGAATATTGTGTTTCTTCTATCATTCCAAATTTTCAGATCTCTCAAGATTCAGTAGAGAACATTAATAGGAGAGAAACACTCACCTCTAACAACACAGAAATTTGTCAAGAGAATACAAGCTTTTCTGGACATCCCATCATTAAGTGTCCCTTTTGTCAAGGGTCAAATTTTACCTGACAGCGTTTATGGAATCACTGTAACAATGATCACATAGTTCCTATTTCAGACAGTACCGGTGATATGCCCTATTTGTGTGTCTCTTCCTCGGGGAGCTCCTAGCCAAATAACTAGAAATTTTGTTAGTCATCTAATCAAAGACATCAGTTTGATTATGGATAATTTGCTAATCTTCATCTAGAATGAGGAAATCCAATATGAGACTGCTGTTGAAGGATCGACTTATAAAGACTGTAGACATCTCTGCAGCTTTGTACCTGCAAATGCTATCTTTAATGGGACAACTACATGAAGTCTCTGTTTCAATAACTTCATACATATATTAATGAAAGGAATTCAATCTTTTAAAAGTTTAAAATTCTGAAGTCACTAGAGTAGTCCTAGAAAAGACCCCCATAGGGGCGCCTGGGTGGCGCAGTCGGTTGAGCGTCCGACTTCAGCCAGGTCACGATCTCGCGGTCCATGAGTTCGAGCCCCGCGTCGGGCTCTGGGCTGATGGCTCAGGGCCTGGAGCTTGTTTCCGATTCTGTGTCTCCCTCTCTCTCTGCCCCTCCCCCGTTCATGCTCTGTCTCTTTCTGTCCCAAAAATAAATAAACGTTGAAAAAAAAAAAAAGACCCCCATACCTGAGGAAGTTGGAGATTGATAGCAAGGATTTGAGGCGATGGTTTCATATTTCGCATTTATTAAAACTAAACAACAAATGCACAGAACAGAGCAGTACGCTGAAGAAAAAGGGACCATCTGAGCATGCGCACTTAAGGGCCTACGGAAGCTAGAGCGGCCAACTTTGGCAGAGCACAATCCTGCTTCAAGCGTGAAAATCAACCCACTGTGAAAAAAACGGTACTGTCCCTGGAGCTGGACTTAATAGACCCCGTGACTGACTCCCTTGCCTCGCCTACTTTCTTACCCCCTGATTGGCCAGTTCAAGTTCATTCACTGTTCTGATTGGTTGTCCTTGGGCAGTAGAATTGTGGGATATCATCCGTTGGAGCGGCTTTTCGCCTCTGCTTCGCCTCTGAGGGAAGCGTTCTTTTCGGACAGTTGCAGACCGGTCAAAGGTGGGCAGGTAAAAAAGTAAGGAATCTCCACAGGTCACTCAAGTAGTTTAATTCTCGCTGGGCCTCCCAACATCCTCAATATCCCTAGGACTGAGAAGTGACTTAAAGCCTTTCAGGGCAATCCCCGTCAGGCAAAGATAAAACTAGTTTTTCGTCTGTGAGACTTTCTAATTGGCCTTCCTGAGGAAAGAACTCCCGTCAGCCTGAGAAACCCCCAAACCAGCTAGATGCCCCTAGATTTCTTCAACCAGAGATAATATCCACTGCCTAAGTGACTCTTTTATTGACTCCTCTAGGATAGAGCAGAAACCTTCTTTGCCTTAGAGACCCCTGAATTTTCTCTCCCTAAGAGATTCCCAATGTTGAGGAACACCAGATTGCTGCATTGAAACTTTCCACATTGCTGCATTGCCTAAATGATGGCTGATCGAGTAGTCTTGGAGATTCTAGCAGTCTTCACACCAATAATTTTCAAATAACCTAATAATGGGCTCTAAATCCACTTTATGTTAGCAATCCTCATTTATTTTCAACAGAGCAAAACCCCACATCCCTCTGCCTGAAAACCTAAACCCATCTGTCAGAGACACCATATGGTCTCTGGGACTTACCTCCTCACTCTTTTGCCTCAAAACATGCCCCCTTCCCCCTCATAAAACTAGATGCTCACTTCACTTCTTGCCCAACAAGGTTGTCTTTATATCTTTCCTTCAGGATAAGCCAAACTTCAGGCAAACTACTATCAACAGTAACAAATCCCTTCTCAAAGTCTCAAGGATGCATTAATGCTTACAGAAAACCTGTCATTCCTAACCAGTACTTCTCCCAAAGATCTCCAGCTCCCTGTTAATTTGACTCTGCCCCCCCCCCAACCCATGTCCTTTTTCAGGGGCAGATAAGCCCAGGATGGAGAAAAGTAGAACCTAGAACTCCAGGTAACTGACGAAATGTAGCCTACCCTCAGTGCTATCTCCCTTCCTCAGGTCCTTTGGATACATGACTGGAGAGATTTAGGTTATGTCCCTTCAAGATCAAACCATCTCCAGCACTATGGACAAAGGCAACTCCTTTGCAAAGAGGCCCAAAGAGGTTACCCAGAAATCAGAGGAGAAATGCAAGGTGAGGTGATCTGGAGGGGGTAGAGGAGTGGCCCAGGGGACACTGTAGAGTGACTAGATTTCTGAGGAGGTGAGGTAAGAGGCACTGGAGAAAAGGAGCAGGGTGTCAGGGGGAGATCCAGAGACTCAGGAGCTTCCCATCCTCACTCTCTCCTCATCCACCATCCCTGGAGACAACAGATCTGTGACTTTGCACTGCATTTGGTGACTCTCAGTCCATTCTGGAAGGTGAAAGAGCATGCTACCAGCATTAAGCATCTACTGCATGCCTGGGGAAAGGCTAGAGAATGTTACCCATGACATTAACTGCGAAGGATTATTATCCCCAGTTCACAGATCCAACATTGAGATCCTGTGGCAGAGGAAGAGACCCCAACTGAAGACCAGACATGTTTAGCTGAGTTGCTGTTAGGATTTACTTATTTTTCTTTCCTAGGAATTCGAAGCTATTTCCAAGTTCTTCTCTAAGGAAGAGTGGGCAAAACTTGGATACTCAGATAAAATCACCTATGTGTACATGAAGAGAAACTATGACATCATGAATGGTCTAGGTAACAGGAAGTTCTGGGTACAGACAAGCCTGGGAACACATCACTACCCCCTCAGTCCCTTTACATGCCACGGCTTCTTCCTAGGCTGCAAGTGTCCCACACCTGCCCTTTGTGCGGGGAGAAATCCTAGGGCAACTTCAAGGCATTCTTTTCTTTTTTTCTTTTCTTTCCTTTCTTTTCCTTTTTTTTTTTTTTTTTTTTAGTGTTTTATTTATTTTTGAGAGAGCTAGCATGAGCGGGGGAGGGGCAGAGAGACAAGGAGACAGGGAATCTGAAGCAGGCTCCACGCTGACACCAGCAAGCCTGATGCAGGGCTCAAGCTCACCAACTGTGAGATCACAACCTGAGCTGAAGTTGGACGCTCAACCGACTGAGCCACCCAGGCGCCCCTCTGCTCTTTTCTATTCTGTGCAGGGCTGAGGGCCTGGGGTGGCCACAAAGATGCTCAAACATAGATCCCACATGTTTCTCTTCTGCTCACCTTTGTTGGGATTCCCCCAGCTGATGAGCTTTACTTTTCCTGCTGCTTCCCAGGATCCCACCCCACATTCCTCTCCTCTCAGGTTGTCTCTTAAAGAACAAATATTTTGCTTCTTTCTAGGTTTCAAGACCACCCTCCCAGCCTTCATGTGTCCTAAAAAATGTGCCACAAAGTCCAGTGGGCATGATTCTGATGAAGACCAGGACTCCGGGAATGAGAGTAAGTGGACAGGAAGGGCCTGGAAAGGGTCTCCTAAAGCCCAACTGCTTTGGGTCCAGCTGCTTGGGAAGGATTCTCAGGAGTTTGCTCTCTCAAAAGTATCAGGGCTGAGTGAGAAAAGTTGGATGTAGAAGGTTAAGTAGAGTCAGAGGCCATTCATATAAAATCCTAAAACATGCAAAATGAGAGTATATATTTTTATGGATAATAAGCAATGGTAAATGTATAAAACCTGAATGAGAATAAAACCCATCAAATTCAGGAATGCAGAAAGAGGGAGGGCAGGGATCAGTGAGGACTGTACAGATGACTTCAGCTGTTACTTGTTTATTGTGTTTTGTTATATATATTTTTAAGTTTTATTTATTTATTTTGAGAGAGTGTGTGTGTGAGAGAGAGCAGGGAAGGGGCATAGAGTGAGAGAGAGTGAGAGAAAATCACAAGCAGGCTCTGCAGTGTCAGCATGGAGCCCGATGTGGGGCTCGAACTCACAAACCATGACATCATGACCTGAACCAAAATCCAGTCAGACGCTTAACCGACTGAGTCACCCAGGTGCCCCATGTTTTCTTATATTTTGAATAAAGATCTCAGAACAATCTGAAGCAGTTGTGGGATAATGGTAATATCTGACTAGACTCAGTGATAGATGTTCACGTGTTTCCCATATTATTCTCCATAATTTTCTGTACATTTGAAACACTTCTTTTTTTTAATGTGTTACTGTTGCTCAACACAGTTAATGAATCACAGGACAATTAAGAAAAATATAATTAAAGTCTAAATCCATGTGGAGCACCTGGCTGGCTGTTGGTAGAGCATGAGACTCTTGACCCCGGTGTCATGAGTTCAGGCCCCACATTGGGCATAGAAATTACTTTTTTAGTATATGTGCTGCCAAAGTGAGCACAGAAGTTACTTTAAAAAAAAAAAAAAGTATAAATCCACTGAGGCGCCTGGGTGGTGCAGTCGGTTAAGCGTCCGACTTCAGCCAGGTCACGATCTCGCGGTCCGGGAGTTCGAGCCCCGCGTCAGGCTCTGGGCTGATGGCTCAGAGCCTGGAGCCTGTTTCCGATTCTGTGTCTCCCTCTCTCTCTGCTCCTCCCCCGTTCATGCTCTGTCTCTCTCTGTCCCAAAAATAAATAAACGTTGAAAAAAAATTTTTTTAAATAAATAAAAAATAAAAAAGTATAAATCCACAAAAAACTTCAAGAGTCAATTTCATAATAGGGCAGAGGTATTGGGTAAATATCTTAAGAGAGAGTGATTAATGCATTATATAATATACGTGTGTGTGTGTGTGTGTGTGTGTGTGTGTGTGTGTATAATGCATCATATGGATTATATAATGACATACAGCTATTTGGTGTTTTTACCCAAACCAAGTAGTCTTTTTGCTCCTAATCCAACCTGATTCTAGGTGTTGAGCTTGGGAGAGAGTTTGAGACAGCGATTCTCCACACACCGAGTTTTTCTAGTTGTCAGTGAGCACAGGTAACACACAGTGAAAAGGGTAGCAGATTCTAGAAATCTGTGTGCATTTGAGCAGTGTGTGTACTCGCTGTAAAGAGGATGAGATATACTCACTTGGTCTCTGCTCTGACGGCACAGTTGTAAGCAGACAGAGTCAGAATGTTCAAACCATCTCCAACAGACCTGTGACTCTCCAGGAAGACAGACCAGATTCCACAAGTTCCCAAAACTACTGTGAGAGGGCTGAAAATCTAGTGCTTGAAAATCTACAAAATTTTTGACACTAAGGGAGTATCTTTTTATTATTATCATTTATTTATTTTTAGGGAGAGAGTGTGTGAATGGGGGAGGGACAGGGAGAATCCCAAGCAGGCCCCGCACCAGGACCATGACATGGGGCTCGGACCTACGAGCTGTGAGATCATGACCTGAGCCAAAACCAAGAGGTGGATGTTTAACTGACTGAGCCACCCAGGCACCCCTGACACTAAAGGAGTATCTTTTTACTGGAAACATTCCAGAACCACTGCTAAATCATCCATGGTTCATCATACGCCTAATGACTTGGTTAAAGTATAACTGGCATATTATAAAATTCACCAGGTTTAAGTAGACAGTGATTTTAGTTGTCACACATCTTTAAATGAATGCAATCAATTTAGTTTAATTAATTCAGTTTAATTGGGGGGAGACGCAAGAAATATGTAGTAGAATAGGATGAGGTAGTGATGGAGTTTAGTTCACATTTTATAAATCATCAGAAGGAAAATTATGAATTATGATGCCATGAATAAATGTATAATCACAATTTAAAGATAATTCAGGGACACCTGGGTGGCTCAGTTGGTGAAGCGTCCAACTTCGGCTCAGGTCATGATCTCACAGTTTGTGGGTTCAAGCTCCACGTCAGGTTCTGTGCTGGCAGTGCAGAGTCTGGAGACTGCTTCGGATTCTGTGTCTCCCTGTCTCTCTCTTTCCCTCACCCACTTGTGCTCTGTCTCTTTCTCTCTCTCAAAAATAAATAAACATCAAAAAAAAATTTTAAAGCCAGTCTCAAAATAACTCCTTGACAATAAGTGGATTCATAACCCTTTCCTCAGAATTCCCTGATACTACAGGAGTCTCTGGTGTTTGGGAATGTTTGTCAACAGAGAAAAACTTCCACTTATCATTTCTTTTAGATGAACCTCTTCAGGAGGATTCTGATGTGCAACAGAGAAAACACCTGAAGGTGAGTATCTCCCAAATCTAAAGAACCAGAGACTCTTTCTTCCTCCACAGATATGAATATCGGTAAGAGCGAGGGAATATTGAATATTGCCTGACCCTTGCTGCCTCCCTTTCATGATCTGTTTATCACAATTCCTGATGTAGCATCAATAACTTAATAATTAGAGATTGTGATAGCTGATACTTCTGTTGTTTTCATACTGATGTCAGATACTATTTTAAGCAATTCACAAGGATTAATTTCGTTAATCTTCAGAAAACGTCTATGATGTTTTCCTATCATTATTCTCAGATAATATTGAGGATATTAGTAATAAAAACTAATCATAAAGATGAGGATGTTGTGGTGCAGAGATGTTAAGTAATTTGCCTGAGACCACAGAGGTAGTGGTAGTAGTCTGTACATTTGAAACATTTCTTTTTTTAAAGGGGTGATTGTTCTTGCTAAACACTGTTAATGAATCACAGGACAATTAAGAAAAGCCCCCAAAGGATTTCCAAGCTCAAGAAACTTTTCATGTGTTTATGAAGTTCGAAGGTTTCTCCCAAAGCTTTACCCCACAGAAGCTGATCATGCTTCTGTTTAGACACCTACTCTCGCAAAATGAAATACCAGCTCCCCTCTGCTCTGTGGCAGGGACACTTTCATGTGGCTTGAGAATGGCCTGAGCTGTCAGCCCCTCCCTACTGTGATCTCCTTTGGGGCTTTGTCAGCATCTGAGGCATCTCTGAAGCCTCGATCCCAGCCCAGGGAGTCCCTCAGAGGTACCTGAATGTTCACTGAATAAGTGATTCCACAATTGTAGAATAAACTCTACTTTAGAGGGTAAAGGCATCTGGGACAGTTGAGACGGTTGGAGACAGTTGAGAGAATTCAAAGAAGGATCATAAAAGAAAGTATTCATTTTCATTATTACCACATTAAAGTGTTTGCAAGCTCAGTACTTTCACTTAGCTTCTTTTACTTTTATTGTTCACTATTTCATAAACGAGGGAACTGAATGAAAGGTAACTTAAGATTGTTGGTCAGTGACACATCCTGATGCAAGCAGAATTGGTATGAGAGCCACCTTGCCTAATTCCACATTCAGTGTTCTTGCCAGCATAGGATAGTAGGTGACATCTGGTGCTGCTTTCTTTGCTGTCTATATTAATGTCTGTGAACTATTCCTTTCCTCTCCCTTCCCTGTACTCCTCTCCTCTATACCATTTTCCAGCAGTGTTTTGTCTCTGTGCATTTTTACATTTATTCTCCCTGCAGCTCTCTACTAGCTTCTATGCAAGAAAGGAGCCCCTCATGGGGATTCTTAGAATGCTATTCTACCCCAACTCTTCTGTCTACAACACTCCACTTACATGGAGCATTTTGCTGTTTGCAAGAAGGTGAAGACAAACGTTCTAGCCCTGGAGACATCCTCATTTAGGCCATTCCTTTTTGTTCTAATCTCCCAGGCTCTTCATAATTTAGGTACAGGTGATATAATGATCTTCCAGGGTTTTAGGACATTAATCAAAGTACTGCATGTGAAGACATTTTGTAAGCTCTAAAGCACTAGAGAAATGCTGTTGATACTGTTTATGTATGACCTTCACATTAAAAAGGTGATGCACAAGAAACCAAAGGAAAAAGATGATTCAGACCCAGTGCCAGTAACACTTGTCTCTAAGCAGGTTCAGGAACAGCAGCACTGCCCAGGAAAAGCGAGTGCCCCTGGTAAAAAGAGTAAGAAGAAACCAGGTAAGAGGTAGCTATGTGGGAACGACTCCTCTGTTTCCTGGCTATGTTCAAGTATGTGGTCTAGGTATGGGGGATGGATCTTGGACAGGGTTGTAGCCAGACTGGACTAAGGAGCTCACCGAGCTCCAGCTGAGATATTAGAACATGACTTCCAGGGTCATAGACCTGACTTGTCATTGATATAAAAGCTAAGTAACTAGGGGTGCCTGAGTGGCTCAGTTGGTTGTGTCTGACTCTTGATCTCAGCTCAGGTCATCTCAGGGTTGTGAGTTCAAACCCCATGTTGGGCTCCATGCTGAGTGTGGAGCCTACTTTAAAAAAATAAGAATTAAAAATAAAATCCAAGTGACTATAGGCAAGTCTTCTAAATTCTTTGAACTCCAGATTCCTAGTCCATAAAATGGAAATAAAGAATCATAGTTCACAAATTGTTCAAGGGCGTTAAATCTAGAAAGCTTGACAATATGAAATGTGGTCAAGTAATTCCATCTGTGATAACCTGGGAATGCATCTTACAGTTGTATCCCCAGCCCTCAGCCTGACACACAATATGCCCTTAACACAAATATGCTGAATGAAAGAAGGTCTGAATGAATTTTCTGCTAAGTAAAGAGGTTGGAAATCTAAATCTGACAATGGGAAGAGCCAGAAGCTAAAACTGTGGGCATTTGGTGTGTATTGGTCTAACATCTCAACCTCTCTGAGCCAGAAGATGTGGAAAACAGACTATGTCAAATGCCTGTGGGCACTTGGGAGGGAGGAGGCATCTCCTTATCTGAAAACAAAACAAAACAAAACAAAACAAAACAAAACAAGAGACTTATACTCCCCAACCCAACCAACTCTCATTTACCAACTCTTCTCCACCATAGGATCCAAGAAAGGGAAGAATATTTGGGCCAATAGACTGCGCCAAAGAAAGAACCTGATAGCATATGAAGAAATCAGTGATCCCGAGGAAGATGACTAATCCTGTAAGTAACCCTTCAGTCCATACCCGCAGCCCTGCAAAATGTACTTGTCTGTTATAGAACTGGTATCCCATCTTGTCGCTTATTCCCCAAACCATTCCTTTCTCCTAGTCCCTTGGGGTGCAGCATTGAAGCTAAATGATGAGGTTTCCCATGCTCTTTCTGCTCCCTGCTCAGTATACCCAGGGATCCTCCCTACCTAGAATGATGTGGGCTCCCAAACCCCTGGTCAGCTACTGATGTGTAGGCCACACTTTCCTGTAGTCTGGGAAAACTCAAAAGACAGGTAAGGGGGTCACTATGGCATGAGCATAAGGTTCACTTTGAGGAGCAGTGGGAGATGCATGCAGATGATGAAGTAGGGTAGAATCAGAGTGCTCACAGCCGAGCAGGTGTGGATGAGGAGTTTGGTATTGATTTATCAGACAATAGGAGCTCACTGCCACTGATTCTCCTTCTCTTTCCTTGCCTCAACCTCAGGGATGTACAAGTGCCCATGATAAGAAGCAGAACCTGGTGGCCTTTCATGAACATGGGCATGGCTGTGAATTCCTAGCCATCAGGTGTATAGCAAGCAAAAGAAAGAGTTCACAATAGTGAAAAGTTAAGCATGATTTTTGTTACTGTGTGCCAAATGTTCTGTTAGATATAAGAGTTTTGTTGATGAGTAAAACATATACCTAATACATATTTCTTTCTGTGTATCCATGCACTTATCTTAGAAAATAAGTATTGTATTGTCAGGTAATTCTCTGCATAGAAGAGCACTACCCTCCTCCCCAGATGTGCAGATGTGACTGCTGAGGGCAGTTTTGGGTGTTTGATTTCACATGTTTTCCTCTGCATTTACACACACACACATACGGTACTACTATAAGCATTTCCCACGTGCTTTTTCCCCACTACCAGCGTGTCCTGGACAAGTACCATTCATTTTGTTCCTGTTCAGCAGGTGCTCCATGTTGTAAATCCACATTATTAATCTATGTTGTATTAGTCATTGACAGTTAATAAACATGTACAAGCTTTTCTCAGTTGTTTGCTCCTTTCATTCTTCTGCACAGAGCCCTGTGCATATGTGTGAGTGTTTCTTTAGCACGCAGTCTTAGAAGTGTAATTGTTGTGTCAAAGGGCTCATTCATTCAACAAACACCTATTGAACATGTACTGTGTACTGAACACTGCTCTAGGTGCTTGAAAGACATCAGGGAACAAGACAGACAAATGTCCCAGCCCAAATGGAGCTAACATTCTAATGGGTGATGTTTCCAGTTTTTATTTTGATGGACACTATACACCCCAAATTCTGGGGCAGGTGCTGGTTGGACACCTTGGCCTTTGCTCTCTGTAAGATCTCCTTAGTAAGGGGCTGGAATGGTCCATTTGGAAGTCTGTGAGAGGAGACAGAGATAAAACCATCAACTGGGGAACGTAGAAGAATAGAAAAAGGAGTGGTCCCCTGGAGAGCATATGGTGCGCAGGAATGGAAGTTTGCTAGTCATGATGCAGGAGAGCAGCAGATGGAAAAATCCACTGAACAAAAGTATGAAACTGCCCATCAAGGGTCTCATGACCAAAGTTTTGAGGGCTGGGGAGGGGATGAAGAGTTGAGAATGGGAGAGTCTCCTCCTATACATACCATTGCAGACCACATAATCAGCTCTGGGAAAAGGAAGAGGGGAGTCTTTGAGGGAACAAACCATTGTGTGGTACATTAAGGGACATTAAGGTTGCCAACAGAGGTCACCAAGGTGACTTGCATTGGACATCAAATACCAGCCCCAGATGGAAGCAGGGTTGGTGCTATTTTAACCATCCACTGCCCATCACCTCAGCCTCCCAGCAACCACCCAGCCTTGGCAGGTCTCTACTCTTCCGCTGAGGCTTCCATCTCCCCTACCTCTGCCTTTGTTCCACCTCTGGACCTGTCTCCTCATCCCAATAGATTTGGATCCAAAGTAGGGAGAAGCCATAAAGCCACAGATGATTGGGTCCAGAGGAGACAGACAAGAATTAAAGGCTCTCCTGGGGGTCTGACTGATCATTATGACTCGAGGCTAAGTCCACATTTGCTGGGCCGGAGTTGGGTCTGCCCTCTCCCATGTACACACTATGACAGCCGCAGGGTTGCTGTCCTCACATCAGCCCTGAGGCTGGGTCTCCTAAAGCCCTGAGAGTTGGTGGACCCTACTCCGGAGGACTTTGCCCTGAGAGATTGAGAAAAGCCTCAAAGAATCACCATTCATTGGAGCTCTAGACAAGACAGGTGAGGAATAAAGCATGGCCAGGGGTATAGGCAGATAGGGATACATACATGAACTCTTTCTGACCAGCATGTTCCCCATGATACAGCCTTCTTCACAGGGGCGACCCTCCCCACAAAGTCAGCTCCTGGGGAATGTGTATCGAGGACATCCTTGTTTACCTGCTTCTTTGAGAATATTATCCTGTCACTTGTCACACCTCTGGGTGGGACAAGTCCCAAATCCAGGACTTTACATCCCAGGACAAGAACCCCATCTGCAGGAATGGGGGAGGTCTGGTTCACTGGGGTCTTCTCAGCCCACCTTCCATAATAACCATATAAAGTGCAATTAATATTCACCATGCATTTAATAGATGTTATATATAAATAGAGAGAGATTATACACAGAGACACTGGCAGATGTCAGACTTCTTGCCAGAGTTCTTGTAAGTTGCATGTGTGGGATGGATGGGCTTGGAGCTCACTGAGACTTCAGACATTAAGGAGAATAGGTGTGGGGGTACCTGGTGGCTGAGTTGGTTAAGCTTCCGACTCTTGATTTAGGCTTAGGTCATGATCTCACTGTCTGTGGGATTGAGCCCCGCTTTGGGCTCCGCACTACTGACAACGCAAAGCCTGATTGGGATGCGCGCTCTCTCTCTCTCTCTTTCTCTGCCCCTCCCTGCCCTCTCTCAAAATAAATAAATAGGTAAACTTTTCAAAAAAGGAGAACAGGTGTGTATTGGAGGGGGAACATGAATAAGCTTCAGGTTCTGTCCCAAGTCTCAGAGTAGAGGACAACATGGACGGCCTTGAGGGTATAATCCTAAGTGAAATAAGACAGAGGAAGACAAATAGCATGATTTCACTCATACATGGAATCTAAAACAAAACATAACAACAAACAAACAAACAACACAAAAACAACCTAGTAGAGAACAGATTGATGGTTACCGGGGGGAAAGGTGTCGGAGGGTGGGCAAAATGAGTAAAGGAGCTAAATTGTATGGTGATGTATGGTAACTAGACTTTTGGTGGCGATCACTTTGTAGTGTATACAGATATTGAATTATAATATTGGTACACCAGAAACTTATGTGATGTTATATACTAATTTTACCTCAATAAAAAGACTTATTCTCCTTAGGGAGACACATGTACTTGTGGGAACAGTTTTTGAGCCAGTGAAATAGGCCAATGATGCCTTTGACAACATTTTTTGTGTTTTACCGTTTTATCTAAATATTACTATCATAGAACGCATGAAAGTTTCATTGTAGGGTGCCTGTCTCAGACTCTCTGTAAGCAGGTAGGGCATGCTGAATATTCCTCTTTGCTTTGGCATGACTAGCCATGGAGCAGACAGACTAGAAATGGTCCCTTCTCACGGAATCTGGCTGGCTCAGCCAGTGGAGCACGCGACTCCTGACCTCGAGGTTGTGAATTCAAGCCCCACGTTAGGGGTAGAGATTACTTAAAAATAAAATTTTTTAAAATGGTTCCCTCTCTACAAATGCATTTCTCTCCTTCATTATTACTATGGAGGGCTGAAGGTACCCCAGGCTCTGATATGCTTCTTTCTCAGCATTCCCCACATGCATCCTAAGGGACTTTCCCATGTAGGAGGTAGGGAGTTCATGGTCATTAGTGTGCCATCTGCCCAGTGTAAGTAAGGGTGTTGAAGGTCCAACTAGCCGTTTAGCTGTGAGTGTAGTTCTTGATTTTTTATCCATTTTACCCTGTTTGAAGTTTCTCCAGATATATTCTTCTCTTCTTGGTTGTTTCCTCCTGCTCATTTTGGCTTCTGGCTCCCTTCCCCCTTGAAACTCTCATCTGAGCTACTTTCTGTTTTTAAGGAATCCGTCACAATTTCTGGTCCCCAAATGACATCCTTTCTTGTTTCCTGGTACTCTGTACAATTTTTTTCTGTTATTTCAGTGGAGAGGTAGACAAGTTTGCTCAAGCAGCCATCTTCAGAACATCTTTAAGGGTGTTTTTTAAACTTCCGAGTAGAAACCGTTGTTTTACTTTTATTGTGTTCAGAGAATGTCCCTTGCATTTTCTACATCTTGAGGGGCAGCTTCAAGATTTATTTGTGGCCTGTTACATGGTCAAATGTATTAATGTTCATGGGTATTATACAGAAAGTTGGGCAGATTCCTGATTATTTACTTTCTTTAATGAACAGTTATTGGAGTTGCACCTTAGAGGCAGAAAGGGCTACTGCCAGCCAATCTATGTAAGTGTTGGAGGGCAATCTACCAATGAACTTTTCAATGAACTCACCAGATGATTATCCTAAGCCCCCCCACCCCTGCTCTTTGTCCTTTTTGACTCTGAGTTTGGACTTTTTCGGAGGCTTTGTTACAAAGAACAGCTCTTGCCTCTGGTGATTTGAGGTGTGATCTTGTCTCCTTGGACTTCTCTCTCAGTCTGATCCCACCTTGTTTCTATCTTCCAGGAGTGTTTCAGCATTTCCGGTGGCCCACCAGCACCTTTTCCCTGTACTGTTAAGAATGTATCCTGGGACACCTGGGTGGCTCAGTTGGTTAAGCGTTTGACTCTTGATTTCAGCTCAAGTCATGATCTCATGGTTTGTGAGTTCAAGGCCCACATCAGGCTCTGCACTGTCAGTGCGGAGCCTGCTTGGGATTCTGTCTGTCCCTCTGTCTCTGCCCCTCCCCTGCTTGCAGTCTCTTCTCTCTCTCTCTCTCTCAATTAATAAATAAACTTAAAAAAATAATTTATCCCTGGCATGCCTGGCTGGTTCAGTCAGTAGAGCATGCAACCCTTGATCTAGGGCTCATGAGTTTGAGCCTTGCATTGACAGTGGAACTTATTTTAAAAAAAAAAAAAAGAATTTATCCTTAAAAACACTTCCCAAATCAATATAATGTTGGGTGGGATGGGAGAGAGACGTACAGTCTCTATTTGCCATCCTCCTCCGATCATCTGTTTGTAGATGTAATGAATTTTTGTCACTATATGAGTGTAATTTTCCTCCATTTTTTAAGGTTTCACACCCAGCATGGAGCCCAAAGCAGGGCTTACTTATGACCCTGAGATCAAGACCTGAGCTGAAATCAAGAGTCAGATACTTAACCAACCGAGCCACTCAGGCGCCCCAATTTTCCTCCATTTTATTCTCTAAATGGCATTTTATTCTCTAAATGGTTCTTGAAACCTATCAATTATTGTGTATAAGGGGCGCCTGTCTGACTTCATCAGTAGAGCACACAACTCTAAATCTCAGGTTGTGAGTTCAAGCCCCACGTTGGGTGTGGAGCCTACTTTAAATTTTTTTTAAAATTATTGTATATAATATTTTGTAACCTGGCTATGTGCAGGTTCCATTGGGGATATGCTTTTGGGGTTTTGTTTTGTTTTGTTTTGTTTGGCTTATAACAGCAAACATTTTATATGCTCAGGATCTTATGGGTTAGCTCTTTGGGTCGGGCCAGGTGGTTCTTCTGCTGGTCTTGCCTGGGATCACTCATTCGACTGCAGTTTGCAGGTTGGTAGGGTGCTCAGCTAGCCTGAGTCTTTTTGCTTCCTGTGGTCTAATCCTCAAACAGGCCAGCCTGGGCTTCTTCACATGGCAGGCTTAGGTCCTCTGAGACCTGCTCCTTCCCCAGGCTCTGCTCTGCAGTCTCTCTTGCACCAATGCTAGCACAGGACTCAATGTGTTTTATTCCCCAAAGGAAAATTCATTTCACAAGGCAATATCATTATAAAAGGACAATTTATTGAAGATTTCATAGAGAAGACTAGTGGAGGTGAAGGAA